ATATTCATGTGATTTGGATCTGAGATTACAGGAAGATTACTCAGGTATTCTCTGAGAGTTGCTTCAAAGTCACTTCAAAGTAGTGCTAAAGTTGCACTTCAAGTCTCTCGACTTTCAGGTCGCAGTAGTGTGAACCAAGGCTTAAACCTGGAAGCTGATTGGTTCCTATGCAAGTAAGTTGTCTCTGTAAGGTCTAGAATTGGTTTGGATGCTGAATGCCCAGATAAATGTTTGTGGCCAAATCTGGAAAAATCTAGTTTCCTGACACTTTGTTTTGTAATCATCTGCAAAGCTGTGACTTGTGTCTTGTAGTCATCAGAGCAGATGGAAAGCTGCTACAGAGAATGATGCTGTCATAACATGAATTTTACAAATTAAGTAGCTGATGGGTGAGGAGCTTAATTTTCATCCAAGCCTGTGTTGACCTTGATTGAGGTTGGAAAGTAGAAGACCGGTAATAAGGTAAGGTCTTCTCCTACAGGGAGTATTTGTTTTCTTTTTGGATAGCGGATTAGTTAAGGCTACTCCTTGTTTCTAAAAGCACAAATGCCAAGGCCAATTATATACATGTTTCAGTGCCATGGAAATACAATAACTCTGTTTATGTATTATACCCATCATTTGTATGTATAAGGAAGGGTTTGGTGTAAGCCTTTACTTTACTCACGCTAGTTGTTTTGACTGCAGACTTATATATTCATGTCATGTCTGGCCTTGTAAAATCCTTAATGGATTTTGCTTACTTATTAGCACCAAAGTAGATTAACTTAGAGTGGACTGTATACAAGGAAGGACACAGATAGTACCTTCATGGAGCTTAAGAACTCTAGTGTGCTTTCAGTGAAACTGAGCAGATGTTGTTGTTGTTGTTTGTCTATTTGGCTGTGATCTACTTGGAATAATGGAAATTTGCATCATTGTTTTTTGTTTGGTTTAAGATAACTAATATAGTTAGTAAATAGCTTATCAAAATCCATAGGACGAGTTGTAAGTATTACTTGCTGAGTTGAGTGGAGGCGGCTATAAAAACGTTTGTGTTTGGATGTCTTCCAGTTGTGCAAAGGATTTGCATGACTAGTGCTTCAAGACAGGATAATTTAAAGGTGGGCATAAATGGACAAAAATCTAAATTCACACTCACATTTATGGTCAGATCTCTGTAGCGGTGGTAAAATGAACAGCCATCTTTACTTTACTTAGCATAATAAGTGACCAAACATGTTTGTGTATGTATGTGTGTGTATATATACATACTGGACACCTTTTGCAGAGGTAATAGATTGGACAGCAGCTGGCATCAGGACATGTTTATGGAAGCAGTACTGCATAGTTCAGAAACAATTGGCTGCTGGTCAAATGCATATGGCAGAAGTTGAGCAGCAGTCAGACAGATGTGTGGGATTGCCAGCATACACAGCTAGCCGTAGGGAAGGTTATGTGTTTGTGTGTAGGTAGTGGGATTAACAGCAGTAGGACTTGGCATATGTGGTTGTAGTAATGAATCATCAGCTGCAAACTCTAGGATCAGCAGGAAACTGTAAGCTGCCCTATTTGTGATTGTACCAGTAACTGACCTTGATGTTTTCTCAAGGCATGGAAGAATTAAAGCAGATCTACACTGTATTTGAACACCAAAAAGCAAAAATGCTATTTTAATAAATTTTTAGTATTCAAAGCAAACTCCCCTTTCTGGCTGTGGCCATCTTGGGTAAGGGGAGATGATTCATGTAGAATTTACTTCCTGGAATCAATCTGCCCTTAGCTCAGGCATGCAGGCAAGAGCGTGTGCTTAATGGAGAAAGCCCCTCCTGAAGTCTCCTGGGATGTGTGACATCATTCGCCTAGGCATAGAAACGAGGAACAAATTGATAAAGTTTAAAACAAGTAGGTAGTATTTATTTATTATTTAGTTCAGGTACTTATATAGCACCATTAATTTACGCAGCGCTTTACATGTATGTATATATATTGTACATTCGCATCAGTCCCTAACCCTCAAGGAGTATACAATCTAAAGTCCCTAACTCACATTTATACATACTAGGGCCAATTTTTTTTAGACAGGAACCAATTAACCTACCCGCATGTCTTTGGAATGTGGGAGGAAACCGGAGTACCCGGAGGAAACCCACACAGGCACAGGGAGGACATGCAAACTCTAGGCAGGTAGTGTCATGGTTGGGCTTTGAACCAACAACTCCTCGTACTGCCAGGCGGAAGTGCTAACCATTTAGCCACTGTGCAGCCCAGGTAGCACGTAATATACCTTCCTATCTATTTTTTAATGCTAGCATCATAAAGATTAAAAACAGGTCATGTTGATTGAGAAAGTGAAGTTCTGCTTTAATGAATGTAATGTAAACCCTCACCTTTGTAAAACAACCTGTTCAGTTTAATATAGAAATCAAAGGTAAAACATTTTGTGCTTGCATATAAAAAACTTAAATACCTTCTCCACCCTTATTTTTCTCATGCCCTGTGTGCTAAGCTGTATTAGAGCTGAGGGAGGAGAAACAGCAGCACACTAATCTTACTAGTAAATGGCTGTGTGTGAGTAGGGGAGGGGGGATGTGGCAGCATGAGCTGTATCATTGGATTAGCACCCAGCACACATAGAAAACTGACCACCCTCTGCTCTCATGCCAAATGTGGTCAGGTTTTTTTTTTTTTCTGGTCAAATAAGGTTTTTTTTAACATTAAAAAAAATGGACTACATATGTTTGGTATGTAATATCAAATTACATAGTAATACAGTATTAGTAGACAGTACAAACACAGTGTAGTCAGGTTATTTTTTGTAATTTGAATTTAAGTAATTTTTATTAAATTTTAGTTTTTTTTTTTTTTTTTTTTTTTTTCCATTTACAAAAAACAAAATAACAGTAGACATGGACAATACCATCATATGATGGCGAGTAAAGAAAACTGACAGCTTGCATGAAACCTTGTTCCATTGGGATCATACTAGAAAAAAGCAACTTACACTCTTACAACTAATATCCAGCTTATGAAGGTAGCTTTTTTTTTTTACCTTTAACAGGACAGGTTTACATAGTACAGCATCAGGAAGTAACATGCTTTTCTTTTATGACTATATAACCCTATTCAGGACAACCGCTCCAATTTGGAGTCTACTAGGAGAATAAATGCATTATTATCATCTTCAGTGGAAATAAAGGTTAATTCAGCAGAGGATAATCAGGGGGTCCCATATTTTATGAAAATTCCCTGGACAGCCTGCGTGTTTATATGTTCTTCCCTCTTTAAAGTGGAATTCACTATATTCCTCCATTGCAAGAGTGTTGGGTGGGGGGGTAGACGAGAGCCACCTCTGCAAGATAATTTTGCAGGCAGTATACACGGCTCTGGTGCATAATAGATTCTATTCCATAGGTAACACCTCCTCCGGAATAATACCTGTGCTCAGTTTTTAATAGGAAGCGGGAACACCAGGGATTTCACACAAAGGACGCAATACAAAGAACAGGATACTTTTCCATACAAGTACATGGTACAGCAGAAACATATCAGGAATCTGAAATGTTGGGTTGACCTATTCTTTAAACTTCGTTTTTTGGAGACGGGATTCAAGCATAAAAGGCAAAGGGGAAGAGCAGCAAGAGGCAGCATAGAGCCAGTGTGAAGAATTACAAGCCGTGTACAAGCACAGGCAAAGAACAAAATAATAAAAAGGGGGGGGGGGGTGAGAACAACCAGTAAGAGGCTTCATACCCAGCAGCTGCAATGAAAGAAATAAGTAAAACTGTAGGATTGTCTGTTGTGCACAATAGAAGTGTGGAGTGAATTATGTAGGATACATGATTATGTGGATAGCTGTCTGATAATTAAATTTTTTGGGGGTCCGAGATGTGTTTTTTCTTAACCGGATTTCACAGGGTTGTTTTATGTAGGATGAGGAGGATACGTTTGGCCTGTATATCACGTGGATTCAGGTTCTTCACCTGCATAGCACATCACTTCCTAAGGAAATTGATCCCTAAAAGAGGCAAAAAAGTTGAGTTTCAGAAATGTTAGTAATAAGGCTACATGCTCAGAGGTGTTTTGGGCCATCAGCATCAAATCCTCGCATATTTAGGCACCTGGGATGGCACAGGTATAGCATCCAGCCTCTCTGCCAGCAGCCTATCAAAATCTATGAGCATCTGAAATAAATAGCGACTGGACGTTGTACAGAGTTGTTCTTGAGTCCTCTTCTCCCGAATGCATAAGTCCCTAAACATTAAAGTGTTACTAAAAACTCACAACAGTAAAATCAGTCTGTATATACAGTAAAACATGCCTGTTATACTCACTGTGGAACCTAAGGGGTTAATTCTCTGCATTGTGTAAAAAGGCTGTTTGATCCTGACTTCTCTGCCCCTTCTTCTCTTGTTCAAATGTCCACACTGATAAGACAGACTTAACCTGTAGCCCTTCAGTACATGCTCAGTTTAGTGTGTATTGCTAGAGAGGTTTTTGGTTTTCTTCGGAGAGTGCACATGATTGGCACATGTCTGGACAGTGCTGATTGGCCAAAGGTCAGAGGTTCTGCAGCCTCTTAGAGAAAACTCCTCCTACAAGCTTTGACCAGTACTCTGCTGAACACTGATAGAAGTCAGAAGACTGCTGTAACTGCTGATGAGAAAAGGTATTTAGCAGTTTATATTTACTAAAATAATTGCACTTCCATGTTCTCTGTCATGTGGGAGAAAAGATATCATCATGAATGCAGGGCCCTGGGTTCAACACTTTAAGTACCACTCGGTGTCTAACCATGTATTTGAGCCTGTCATAGATTTTGCCTGATGAACCAAACTGTCTATGGACATGAAGTCTAAGGATGTACACTTTTTTCACTATTATTAAACTGTGTTTCTTTACATCTGATAGTATTTCTTACCCAAAAACAACAGTGATGATATATGTATTTTTTTTTTTTTTTATATATTCTAAATCAAGCTATGTGAAACAAATTGCATGTCTGCATGTTACACAACATCTAACACAGGGCTTGAAAAAGCTGCTCGCCCGCTCGCCAAATGCGAGGAGAAATTCCTCTGTGGCGAGCGGCTGTGAGCGGTGAGCACAGATGAAGCATGGAGTGACTGCACCTGTGCTCCAAGCCTCATTGTAAAGCCAAGCTCCGGTTTACAACTTCCGGTTTCTGGCTTCTGCTGCACCGCCGCTGAGGGGACAGGTGCAGGAGAGGTCCGCTCCCACCGCTGAGAGAAGACACCCTCTCCACCGCCGTGGGGGACTTGGGGGGACAGTAAGTACTGTATACAACGTGCTATATCACTATAATGGAGTAAAGGGGAGCTGGGATATACATTACTGTGTACAGTTTTTATATTTTGGACTTTTCTAAAGAAAAATGTAATTTCATAAGCTTTAAGGGGGCGAGGTTGGGGTGGTGGGCCAGGGGTGGGGTTTGGTTGGGGGCGGACCTGGGTAAGGTTGGGTGGGGCAACTTGTGGGAGAGTACGGTTTTTTTTTTTTTTTTTGTGACCGGCTAGTAGGTCTGGACTCTAAATTTTAACCCTTGATCTAACACCATCTGTGTTCAGGGCTGTGTGCCTGCACAGCTGTCAAATTGGAAGCAGCAGCTGTGTCCCAATGTACATGATATGAATTGGACTGCAAAGGGATGCATGGAACACCTCTGCATGTTTGTGCAGGTAAACACGGCTCTCGCACAGGTCTGTGCTTTAGTACGCCCATGTGAATGAGGCCTAAGTGTGATTGAGACTTTGGCATAGCAAATACAGGATAGGATGCTTCACTTTATGTAAAAAGAACTTACAGAAATACATGATTACAGTACATGGAGGGTATTTGTTACCTAACAGCAGTGAAGTAATTGTAATGTTTTGAAAAAAAGTTTACTACATAGCGTGTGTGTTGTATGCTTGATTGACTCAGACTACAGGCATAATTTCCCAGGTATATTTATAACATCAGTAGGGCTCTTTATTATTGCAATTGTACTCAACAGTCTGAAAAAAAAATTAGGCTGGTGACGTGTTCAGCCACTTAGCGACTGCATATTATATATTGAGGTCTGTGTGTATACAGTGGGTATAGAAAAAAATCGCCCCCCTTTAAAAATCACATTTTGTTGCTTTGCGGCCTGAAATGAAGATAGACGGTTTTTGTTTTATCCAGCTGTATTTACTCAGTGCAACCTATAACATTCCAGTGAAAGATATAATAGCAACATGTCAAAAACAAAAAAAAAACAATCTCTGAACTGGAAAAAAAATCACCCCCCTCCAAATGGCTTGTAAACTCAGTCCGGCTAATCATCTTCTAAATGGCACATAAAGCCATTTGACTTTCAACTGTGATCAGCTGTGGTCATTATGAATAGATCAGCATGGAAGCGCTTTCCTGGAGCATTTCAGTCCCTGTAGTGCACCTGAAGCAATCAGTCAACTATGGGTGGCAAGGCACTGTCAAAAGATCCCTGGCATAAAGTTGTGGACAGGCACAAGTCAGGAGATGGATACAAAAACATTTCAAAGGCGTTATCAGTGCCTAGAAGCACAGTGAAGTCTATTAAGAAGTCGAGGGGGTGGGGAGCCTATGGAGCCGAACGGGAGATCGTGGTAAGATCTCCCGTACCCAGGCTCCCTCATCATCCAGCCGAAAGGTCATAATGACCTATTGAAGCAGAGTAGGAGGAGGGGGACTCGTTAACCTGCTGAGCCCTGCACATGTGATCCGGCACCCGGGCTGTCATCTGGCAGTCCTCGGGTTACTGAGAGGACTGCAGGAATTTTGAAGGAGGAGGTGAAGCTGAAGGGAGGAAAGCCCTGGGAACAAGTTACGGAGGACGCCGGGAGGCCACGTGATCGGCTGTGGGGAAGCCTAGGGAGGAGAGAGACGCCGACCGGCATAGGGGAGTGTATGTGGAGCCTCTCTCTCCTCTCTCTCCCCTCTTTCCTCTTTCACCTCTCTCCTGGTCTTCCTGGCTCTCTCCCTGTCTCCCTTACTCCTCCCTCCTCTCCTAGTGAAGGAGTATGGAGCGGATTGGAGAGGAGGTAAAGGAGCAAAAGTCTGAATTATGAATGGATGAATGGGAATCCCTCACCAGAGAGACTGCTGAATTAAAGGGCTCTTTTTTGCAAACCCGCCCCCCCCCCCCCCCCCCCGAGAATATCGACAGAAGCCACCCGTCCCCCTGTGGAAAAGTGAAAGTCTAACGGTGAGCGAGAGTGGCAGAAGAAATTATATGTAATATTTGTTATATGTCATAAGGATTACGAAGTAAATATGGACTGTTCAAAGAGTGGGAGTTGCATATAGGGGTCACGACGGAGACTACAGAGGGTCCCATATTTTCAAATTAAAAATAAATAACGTTAGTCCCTGTAGGGGGCCCAGGAGGGGACATAGGGGGAAAGAAGAAGGCGAAAATACAAAAAGGAGGAGACTATTCTAGTTGATATCTGAAATATAGCAGTAGAACCCTATAAAATTGATAGCGCGTACAGAATTGGAAGAATATACTAAGAAGGAGGAAAAGAAAGACCAAGAGATACCATTGATTAATTCCGATATTATAGGAAAAAGAGGAGATCTGGAAGAAGATGAAAGGAAGAGATATCATAAAGTTTGGGGAAATAAATTTACAGATATTCCCAGACCGAGCCGAAGAGACTTTGTCAAGAAAGAAAATATTAAAACTATTAGTAGACCAAATGAAGAAGCACTTCAGCATAGACTCTCTTCAGTGGTATTTCTACAAGAGACACATCTAGTACAAGAAACAAATGTGAAGTTACAGTCCAGATATTATCCAGAGTGGTATTATGCAGATTCCCCAATTAAATGCGCAAAAGAAGTGGCAATAGGATTTGTGAAAATTATAAGGTTTAAGTTGGAAGAGAGATTGCTAGATCTGGAAGGGAGATTCCTGTTCTTGAAAGGAAAACTACAGACAATAGAATGTACATTAGCAAATATTTATTTCCCGAATAAGAACCCTGAGGAGTTCTAAAAAAATATTCTGAGGAAATTAATGGATTTCAAAAAAGGGGATTTGATTGTGGCTGGAGATTTTAATGTTTGTATGGATCCACAAATGGATGTGGCCTCTCCTGTGCTGAGAGATAGTAGTAGATCTCTGAAAAACTTGAAAAAAATGTTATTTCAATGTTAACTTGTAGATATTTGGAGAAATAAACATATGAAGGAAAGAGACTACACTTTTTACGCTCATGCACATGAGATGTATTCAAGATTGAATTACATACTGTTGGACCTTAGGCTTATTCAGTCTCTGGTCAAAGTAAATCTAGAAGTTATATCAATTTCTGACCATGCTCCTGTCACAATGCAATTGCTATGGGGTAATGAACAGATGGGAGGAAAATTATGGAGGTTGAATGAGTCAATTCTCTAAGAGCAAGAGACGGAGTGGAAAGTTAAGCAGGAAATAGAGCAATTCTTTGAAGAAAATGACTCTGAGGAAGTGTCGGTAACTACGGTATGGGAAAGCACACAAGGTCTGTATTAGAGGTATTTTAATAGCGATAGAAGCAAAAAGGAAGAGGGAAAGAAGAGAAAAAGTAAACACACTCTTTAAGGGAACTCCTGTGATTTAGAGCTGACACATAAAAATAGAGTAACAAAAGAGATTACGCAGAAGATAATAAATAAGAGAAGAATTAAATAACATCCTGGAAGAAGAGAAGAGGAGAGTGTTTAATAAAATAAGTGAGAGGTATAGATGGGGGGGATAGACCAGGAAAGTATTTGAGGGCTCAGAGGTAAAAAAAATCTAGGAATTCTATTCAGAAAATAAGAGATAATCAAGGAGAATTGGTTCATTCAACCAGAGATATAGTAAAAGTTTTTAAAGAATAATACAATAAGTTATATATTATTAAGCCTCATGGTACCATAGGAGAAAATTAAGTTAGAAATAAAGAGAGAAGACAGGCATATTTAAAAAAGGCAGGATTACCGAAATTAAGCGAAGAACAATTAGAATCCCTTGAAACGGCAATAACGCAGGAAGGAATACACCTTGCATTAAAAAGTACAGTAGCTGGGAAAAGTTCAGGACCTGATGGGTATACAGTGAGATATTATACAAAATATGAAGAAATTCTATTACCTAAATTGAGAATATATATGAATGCTTTGGGAGGAGAGATGAGATGAGGAGGGAATCCCTGCAAGCTCATGTGGTTCTCATACAAAAGGAAGGTAAAGCTAATACTCGCTGCTCAAGCTATAGACCAATTTCCTTATTAAATATAGATACTAAATTATATACAAAAGTTCTGGAAAGTAGATTGAGGAACTTAATGCCGAGTTGGATACATATAGATCAAGTGGGGTTTGTCCCAGGGAGAGAGGGTAGCGACAACGGTTTAAGATCTTTGTTACTTATACAAAAAAGTAGGAAAGAAAGGAATTCCGGCTTTGTCACTTTCATTTGACGCTGAGATAGCATTTGGTAGAGTAAATTGGGGCTATATGTTAGATACCTTAGAAGTAATATGCATGGGACCTAGAATTAGAGAATGGATTAGGAAATTATATAGCCAACCCTCGGCAGCAATAATGGTAAATGGAGAATTATCTGAGTATATTGGGATGCAGAATGGAACAAGACAGGGATGCCCTTTGTCCCCATTGTTATATGTACTGTCTTTGGAATCTCTTTTGGCTACTATCAGGAATAATATAGATTTAAAAGGAATCTGGGTAGGAGAAATCGAGCATAAGGTGGCAGCTTATGCAGATGACATGTTGTTCTATGTAGGAAACCCGAGGATAACATTACCAAACTTAATGAAATCTTTAAAAGAATATGGAGAGATGTCAAACTTAATAATTAATCCAACTAAAACAGAGATCTTAAATATAAACCTTACAAATAGAGAGAAAACAATGTTACAGGAGGAATTCCCTCTTATTTGGAGAGAGAGATTTAAAATATTTGGGTATAAAACTGACTGTATCTTTAAAGAATTTCTATAGCTTAAATTTATATCCCACTATTAAACGAGATTAAGGATGAAATAAAGAAATTAGGAAGAGGATTTCAGTCATGGATTGGTCGGATAAACTTGATAAAAATGGTAATCGTTCCCAAAATTCTATATAAATTTCAAATGATACCAATTAAGCTCCCAGAGGCATATTTTAGAATAATGAAAAAAAAATTATAACATCATACATATGGAGAAATAAGCCTAGAATAAGTTCTGAAATCTTAAGTAGAGATAAAGGAAAAGGTGGACTGGGGGTACCGGATCTGAAGAGATACTATAACTCAGTAATATTGACAAGAATTTTTGATTGGACACAATGCACAGGGGAAAAG